AGGCTTCAGTTTCAAAAAGGAATTAACTGTAACAGAAATTCCTGTCAGTTATAGTGAGAAAAGAAAGAAGTCCCAGAGAGTTTTAGAAATATATTACAGATCCTGCAACCTTCTCCCAATCAAAAGCAGTTGACAATTCAAACTGTTCCTTCTTTATTTTGGCTATTAATATATTTGCCATTATTCCTATGAAAAACTCATCTGAAAACCTTTTTTAGGATCTAATTCTACAAATGTTTAAATTAAAATAGTTTATTATTATTGCTATAATCATCAACAGGTAATTTTATCTGAGCTTAGACATGCTTAGCAAATTCTCTAGTTAGAGCATTTTTTTTTATTTTTTGTACTTAAAATAAAATCCTAGAGAGACAAATTTCAGTTACTAATATGATTGCATTAACGATCTGAGCCTTGATTCTTGCTTAAAATATGTTTAATTTTCAGACTAATCTGAATCTTGCCATACTTTTTATATTTTTTAATCAATTCACTCCAAGCAAGGGGATAATGCCAATAAAACACAAGGAGCTACTGGGAGTGAAGGAGAATGAAAAGACTTTAGAAGGAACTGTACACCCAATCCTAAACAGAAAACAAGGGATAAACCTCTACACCTGTTTGAAATACTGGGATACAGTGAACTGAAGGATAGGTGAACATATCTACTACTATTGAAAAAAAAAAAAAATTAAATAAATAGCAAAAAATTTCAGAGTTTAGGCAGAGACATTAAAAGTATAGAGTTGAAGTAGACTTTAGAAAGAACCAGAAATCCAATCCTAAACAGGAAACAATGGATGGATATATCCCCTGATGGGTTGACAGTATGATTCCTGGTGGGTCCATCTACAAAATTGGAGTTGGAATGCTGAAGGTAACCTCAATCCGCTAAGTGACAAACCATTTACTTGTATTAATTTTTTTCTCTCTGCGCACACACACACACACACACACACACCAAAAATACCTGTTGTTGACTGGGTTTGGAAGAAGCTACAAAAATGGTACTGTTTCTTGAAAGATATTGATTAAAGAGTATTGAACATATAATAATAAATGTCTGTTAACCTCCATGTAGGTAATACAGCTATATCCATCCAGGTAATGCAATAGAAAGGACTGCCAGTTTTCATGTAGAACAAAGAGGTACTTCCACCAGGCCAATATTATCATGGTTGCATATAAGCTTCTGGTCTGTGATTTCTGTATTTTGGTCTATAAATGAAGCAACTATCACATATATAACTAAATAGAAGATTGAGGAAAACTATAAACATATGCATATTACAATATTTATTTAAGCATTACAACAAACTTCAATAATAAAAAAAGAAATATACCATTAATGTTTATATTCAGTATTATATATCTAATTGCCTGGATACTGCATTCCATTGAGTATTCAGAGTCTCCACTCCATTACCTCTAGAGTTTCAGACTGTCTGGCAGCTGTAATCTGCTGAGTATCCTTGTTACATCTCATTTCAGTTTCTTCTAGAGTTTCAAATTGTCTAGCAGTCCACTAAGCATCTAATCTGCATCTTAGATATTCTTCTTCTTCTTCTTCTTGACTTTGTGACACTCATGAAGCTGCATCTTCTCTTTCTCTTTTCCTCCACTGGGATTGCTTAGGTGGTCCAAAATGGAACTTTTTGGGAGTCATTGTAGTAAGTGTATAGCCTAATTATTATTTGCAATAGTCAGCTAGCAGAACAGAACAGACATCTGAAAGTTATAGAGCTGTTCAGGTTTGGTCATTATAGGATAAAATAACTTTATTAAGAATTCAAATAAATTGCAAAGTTGCATATTAATGAAATTATAGTTATTGTACAGGTTCAAATGATGCCTCCTCAGTCCAAGAGACAAAATTTATAGAAAAACTACACTAGGATCTATATTGATTGGATCATTATTATATAAGATTGAAACAGTATTGTGTAGGTTATAGGAAACTAAATTTGCCGTCTCAATCAAATGTTTGGATACAAAAATGAAATGAATGTAAAAAGATGGTAGGGTTTAAATTTCATTTCAATCCACGGAGACATTTTTTTTTTTTGAGGTGGGAATTTGTGCCCCCCTGGAACCCCACTTTTTTTAACAATGTCATTAGATGTCATACATAGAATCTTTCTTCAAATTTCATCAGAATCTATCCAAATATTGTGTAGAGTTTTAGGGAGCTAAGCACTCCCCACCCCCCAAACTCCATCCCTTTGAACTCTATATAAGTACTTTGGGAGTTGGCTTGAAAATATATCAAGCCCTATATAGCCCTATGGTAAAAACCTTGTGATAATAGAGGTTCAAATACTCAAGTTATGGACTTCCAAAAATTTTCAATATAAGTAGGTTTAGCCCCCATTAGGGGGTGTTGATATTATTGAAATTGGCTGATATTTTTGGAATAGGCATCATTTGTAGCCATTTATCTAAGTTCCTCAAAGGGAAGTAAAATTTGAGGGGGTGTTCAAGCATGAAACAGAATGTCACCACTTGATGTTGTCCTCAGTGTCCACTTTTATATTAAAAAAAATTTTTCTAATAAATTATATAATGCATTCATTTGCTTCATTTTTGTGGTTTAAATTCGAGTCAAGATATTTATGTAATTTTATTCACTTTGAATAAAATATGAATATATAATAGTCAGGCACAAGACCATGAAAACAAGGTACACACTGAAAAGTGTCTTGGCCTATGAGATATGCCCACTGTATAATTCATAACTAATTCAAAATGACATTTTGACAACTAGCACTGAAATACTGAAATGTTATTCAGAAGGTTGCGGAACATTCACAACTCCTTCAAATCTTTTTATTAAGAGAAAAACAAAGAAGAATTTATTGCATAATCATTAGTGAGAATTATTCTCTACAAAATAGCAACTTTCCATTTTTTTTCTAGACAATTTCAGGTTGATTAATTGAATAATGTAAAATAAAAAGGATAGGCCTAAATTTTCTACAAGGTTCAATTTTTAACTTGGTGCTGAAAATTTAGAAAGTAATTTTTCCTATGCAGAAAAAAAAAATCATACTCTTTATTGATGAAATCATAAAAAAAATTAAATTACCAAATGAGTAATTATTAACATTTACAAAATAATCAAATGTTAGGTTTGACATAACAGCTGTCAATCTCCCTGCAGAGGCCAAATTCTTCAACAATGTTTTAAAATGCACCCAAGAACATTTGCAATATTTCTTTATCAGCAACATTTTCTGTATATTCCAACAATTGTAGAACAATAAATTGCAACTGTTGAGTTATTATCCTTGAAACCTTTGATAAGTCACAAGAAGGCATACCATTGTTTGGATATAAAAGTCATGAGGATTTCTGGTCTGATGCTTCTATTATATATCTTGAGATTTTTGACAAAATTCAAAGAAATGTCTTTAATGTTATTGGTCCTGACCTGGCATCTTGACTTCAGTCACTTTCTAACCAATGTGATACGTCTTCCCTCTGTCTTTTCTACAAATATTATCATAGCTATTATTCTGAACTTTTCTCCTTGGTATCTTGACAGCATGAATTTAAGCGTGCTACTAGATTGGCAACTAGGTCCCACCATTTTACTGTTGACCTAACTAGATACAAGCATATCTTCTATTCCAATAGCTTATTTTCTTGCCTGTGGAACTCCTTTTGAATTTCTTGCTTCCCTGCCTTCTACAATCCTCAAAAATTTAAATGCTATGTCAATCACCATCTTCTATCTTCTTGAATGATTTGAGCTTCTCAGGGAAGCTGAAGTTCATCATTTCAAATTCTGTTCTTGGTAAAGTTTAACCTTTGAGCCTGTGAAAAGAAGAGTGTGTCAAAATGATCGTTATTGGCTTAACACTGCGATTATTTTTTACTACCTTCCTTTCCTCAGCAATGTTTATTTACCAGATTATAAAGATATGTGAACCTGAACCAAGTACAACTGTTTATTATTTACCTTTTATAAAGATTTATTATTTACCATTTTATAAACAAATAAATGTAAAAAATCTTTTTATTAAAAATTTTTTCAAAAATTGCAAAATTATCAAAATATGTAAACCATCAAAAATGCAATATTTAATATTTACCATTATATAAATAAATATGAAAACAATTTTTTTTATTCATAATTCTAAAATTATCACTGAATTTTAAAACAAATATTTATTTTTTTTTATACGATGATTAATGATAAATATTGCATTGTATTAGTAGGTTCACATTTTTAGATGGTTGTAAATATAAAATTATCACTGAATTTTAAATCAAATATTTATTTTTTTTATACAATGATTAATGATAAATATTGCATTGTATTAGTGGGTTCACATTTTTAGATGGTTGTAAATATAAAATTATTCTTTTAAATAAACAATCTTTTAAATAAATAGTGTTTAATTTTTTTTTTTTTGTTGTAAATTCTCAAAGAAAATATATAAATTCACTTTCATATATTTGGATTTTAAAATTCTAATCATCGCTTTTTAAAACAACAAACATTGCCGAGGGAGTGAAAGTAGTTAAAATAATAGTGATGTCAAGGGAAAAAACATTTACTTTTTTTATGGGCATAATGATTAAAGATTGCCTTATTCTTGATATTTTAACAAGGATTTAATTCATCAGTTTTTTCCAATATTTCAATGTATGTCAGTAAAATAAAAAGGGAATTTATAGATAACCTGTACTTACAGTGGAAGAATGGATTTAATTTGGCATCAATTCTTTAAGTGGCTGATTCACATTAAACCTGAAGATCATTCCTTCATAAACTCAATTCATAAGAATCATGTAATGTGTAAAGTCTGAAGTCACCACATGGTTAAAATAGCACAATTATCTAAGATGTATACACAGCAGAATATTTTCCCTTTTATTCAAAAACATGTTTTTAATAAAATCACATATCTGCTCAGGACATAGGTGATCATGGCTATTCACAGATTTTTCTTTCCAAATCTAGAAATTGCCACATCTTCTTGGGAAAGAGGGCTTACAGCCATATCACATTGAAACACAGGTTTTCATACAATCACCAAAGTTAAGCAATGTCAAACCTGGTGAGTACTTAGATAGGTAACCACTTGGGAATACCAGGTGCTTTAAGCTTTGATGTAAAGGTGGCATAATGGCTTGGAATTGTTAATCTGAGAATAGAGCTCCAATTCCAGTTGGGTTCATTATATTCACTTACATGCATATACACTTAGAGCTCTTCTCTCCTCCAGCTATGGGTTAATTAGTAAGACTTGTATCAGTAAATTATTATTATCTCCAAAAACATTCTTACAATCTAAAAATATTTTCTAGCTTCAGATAACTTGCAAAGGGTTGATAAACCATAAAGAAGAAATCACTGTTAGGGAAGCACATGTTAAAACTCTGGTTCCTATACGATCACCTAAGTTAAGAAACATTAAATCTGGTCATTACCAAGATGGGTGACTGCTTGGGAATCTTGGATATGCAGGTGATGTAATGGATAATGGCTCAGAATTATTAATTGGGGAGCCTAGTTCTAATTTCAATTGGATTTATTATATTCCTTTAAGCACAAATATCCTTGGAAAAGGTATAAAATCACCTCTTCATTCCCCCATTTATGGGTTAATTAGTATCACTAAATCAATATTATTTTTAAATTCTTACAATCTAAAAATATTTTCTAGCTTTGAATAACTTGCAAAGGGTTGATAAGCCATAAAAAATGAATCAACATTTTTATGCAGTACTAAGTTATCCTTACCATTAAAAATAAACAAATAAAAGCAGCATTTTTTCAGTATTTTTGTGAGTGTGTTGATTATATTTTCTGTGTTGTTAATCTAGAACTTTTGTTTATTTAATTAACACTCTTGTCCCATGTAGGAAAGAATTCTTTAAATCTTTAAAAGTATCCAAAGAAATCTAATACGATACATGACAGCAATATTATTATTTACATTCAGACTAATGTCTTCTCCTTTATTGTTATGTCAATCTGGGTAACTCTTGGAATTTGAAACTCAGCCATTTCTTTAATCTGTAAGACTAAGATTGTTATTGTTGTGGTCCATGTCCAGGGATATAATTTTTTTTAGTTCTGTAAAGCTACTGTTAATTGCATCTTCTTTGAGATTTACAGCTACATCACGTTGTAACACTAGTTTCCGTATAATGACTGAAATTAAGCAATGTCAAGCTTGGTCAGTACCTAGATGGGTGACTATGTGCTGTAAGCTTGAATGTAATGGATAATACTTCAGAATTGTTAATCAGAAAGTCAAGTTCTAATTCCAGTTGGGTTCGTTAAATTCAATTCCATGCAAATATTTTTAGGAAAGGCATGAATCTACCTCTTATCCCCACCGTTAATTAGTAAAACTTGTACCATTAAATCATTATTATTTTAAAAAAATTTTTAAATCTTAAAAAAAACAAAAAACAATTCTTAAAATCTAAAAATAAATATTTTCCTGGCTTTAAATAACCTGCAAAGGGTTGATAAGCCATACTATATAAACTATCTCACATGTTGGCTATTGTGGCATGTGGGAGTTTCCTTACTTTGCTGATTAAGCAGCAACAACAATGGAAGTAATCAGTAGGGTACAACTGGAAGTCCAAGAACACATAAAAACATTGACTAAGCTTTATTTGGCAACTTTTCATTTTCAGCGGCCTCTACCTTCAAGCCCAGCTCAAAGGGCTACACACAAAATTTGCTGCAGAAGATGAGGCAGCTAGGCTCAGATATCTTATTCCTCCCATGGGAACTGGCAGAAAAATCTCCCTTGAAGGTACCTACAAAAGGAAAACTACACACCACCCTTGCTGCAGAAGACAAGGCCTGTCCCAGCAGTTTCACACTCAGATTTCTTGTTCCTTCCATGGGAACTAGCAGAGAAATCTCTCTCAGCAAAAAAAATACTCAAGAACTTTGCTAAATCCCACTCAGCACCCCACCCAATACTACTATCTTGCATTCTCTTTTAACCAGAAATAAAAGCTGTTGAACAGTTATTTTTGAGCCTTGGGTTTTGTTCATCCAACTCTCAATGCTGAATACAAACACACATGCAACTGGGTAAATTCCTAACAACACAAAATTAATCAATCAGCCAATTCCACTGAGTGAGCCTGTACCACTGGGCCCAGGGTCTGAACTCACAATTACTGCACTTTTAAGTGATTAAAAAATTACTGCAATTTTAAGTAATTAAAAATCCAATTAAGTCAACTGATATCTTTTTAAAGCATTTAAACCTAAAACATCTAAATAATGTTAATTACAAAACAAAAATAGACATTATATTAGTATCCAAATCACCCCTACTTACAAAGGTACTGTATAATACCTCCTTTTTACCACTCACCTGATTCTTAAGCAGGGGAATGAGGTTATAATATAGTATGATTCTGGAATAGATATAGCAAAGAATTCAGGTTCACCAAAGGGTTGATCTGTGGCCAACCCTGGTTATCAAGTGGGGATGCACATGACTTCACCCCTGCATCTGGGAAAGATTTTGTAATGGATGTGGAGAGGATTTGGGCAGTCCTTCAGACACTGCAGCAGGGGAAGGTAATTTCATGTATCAGACCTGGGACAATGGACACAAACTGGTCAAGAGTAACTGATAAAATACTGGAGTGAATAAAATGTTAAGTAATGATTCATGTTTCATGTGATCCTTTAATTGACACTCATTTCATTGCAATAAAAAGGTCACGTTGCATTTTGTATTATCAAATAGATTGATTTCACCATCTAATTTGAGATCATGTATCATTATCCTAAAATTCAAAGACGGATATACAAGAGCATCTCGTCTGCAGTTGCTCTCTCACAGATGTGCCATTGCTTCCCTGTCTTTTTTACAAATACTTTCAGGGTAACTGCTCCGATGAGCTGCTTTCGCTGGTTCCCAGACTTTGTAAATTTAAGCATTCAACTAGGCTGGCATCTCGCTCTCACCCCTTTCACTGTCAAAAATATTAAATGTAGCCGTCTCTTCTATTCCAATAGCTTCATGTCCTGCGCCTTCCATCTGTGGGATTCCCTTCTTATTACTTGTTTCCCTGATAGCTATAATCTCCAACTATTCAAATGTAATGTCAATCAACATCTCCAGATGCCTTGATTTATCCCCTAACCTTCTCTTCATCCTTTCCTCTATCACTCCTCTTTGTTCTCACTCCAACTCTCTGTAACCCCTTATGTGCTAGTGGCTTCCCACCTTGCTTGGGGTGGAATGCTTAAAAAAAAAAAAATATGTATTTTGACTAGTATTTTCAGTTTCATTGTTTTGACCATATTTAGCTGTTAATGGTTTGAATAATCTTATTATTCATTAAGTCATAAGTAATTTCCGTTTTGAGGAACAAATTGTAATGACAAATGTATCATCCTATCTACCTAATCATGGAAGACAAGAATAAATTTGTAATACACTAATATATCTGTTTGTGTACAGTAGTGGCAGCATACACAGTGGATGAATATGAAAATGTTTTTCTCCTCCATGACAAGGCAAAGCTGCATATGGTAAGCAGTAGAGACTTTTGCAACTCGGTTGATCTGGTCTACCCTATTCACTATATTCACCTACGCATGTACCAATCAATTATTACCTTTTTTGATCTCTGTAAAACACTTTAACAGGGAAAACTTTCTCTAATGAAAACCAGATTCAAGAGTTTATCAAAAACTTTTTCACATCGAAGATTTGTGGAATTTTACTCAAAAGGTATCGTTAACTGCCTGATAAGTGGCAACAAGCCATTGCAAATAATGGTGAATATATAATTGAATAAAATGTATTTTTGAAGAGAAAAGATGATAAACAAAAAAGGATATTATTTATAACTCAACCTAATTGAATTCATCTTTTAAAAAAAAAAAAATGAGTGATATTTGGTGATGAAATCCAATTATTCAAGAAAAATCAACTGAAATCTGATTAAAACAATCATTATTCAAATATAAAATCCTACGTAATTAATATCAGGGATATGTCATTCAATTAATTTCTTTCTTGCATTTCCAAGTTCATGGCTTGAAGAAAGTGAATTTAACACTTGACTAAATAAAGATACATATTTAACTTTGACAAAAGCAGCAAAAGACAAAACATATTTTCAGTCCAATGTTGAATTCCTCATTGATCCTCATCAGATTCATTAAGAATTTTTTAAATAATATCTCTATTCACTTTTGCATTTATATGCAAAAACATATGTTGTTGTATAAGTTTTTTTTATTTCCTATTCCATGACAACAAAATGCTTTTTTTTCCTTTAATACAATGCAGTCTGAGTAGTTCCTAAATTCTTTTTTTCTGTGGGCTTCATTTCTGGAATTAAAATTTGCTTGGGCATCACCAAATTTTATTTGATAAAAAGTGCATTTAAAAATAAAAAACAGAGAGAAGGTTAAAGGGAGATAATCGAAGATTCAAAGTCAGATCATTATCATTGATAACTCTCTACTCCAATTTGCAGACCCTAGTTACTATATCCTTAATACTTGATAGAATGCAAAAATATCACAATGATAAAATAGGTCAATAATTATTTATAACTATTTATACTGGGACTCATGCATGCAATTACAAGTAATCCATAATAATATTCTAAATTTTGAAATCATTTATTTTTGGCATATGAATTTTTCTAAAACTGTTTCTAAATCTTTGATTGTTTTCCAATCATTCCACCTTACCTGCTATCCTATGCTACCACACCTATGAGGTGTACCATACTATTTGGAAACCATTGATATAATGTAATTACATGATATGGCATACAAAATTTCAATTCAGGACTGGTCATCCCAAAAAAAGTAGAGTAAATGAAACTTGTAAAAAAAAGAAGATATTATTATTCCCCACTCCCAATGTTGAATAATTGATTTATTTTTATTTTATCAACCTTTTGCAGGTTATTTAAAGTCAAAAAGTATTTTTAGAGTGTAAAAATTTTTTTGGCGATAATAATGATTTACTGATACAACTCTTACTAATTAGCCCATAGCTAGAGGAAGAAGAGGTGGATTCATACCTTACCCAAGAGTATTTGTGCATAAGTGAATATAATGAACCCGACTGGAATTGGAACTTGG